AATAAAACAACAGTAGTAATGTTGATAATGGTTATAATAATAATGATAATATCAATAGTACTATCACTAAAGGGCATGAGCCATCTTTTATCTAAATATCATACAACTGACTTTGCCAATAAATATATTAGTCTCTCCTATCATTTTCTATGACACATCATTCATAGAAAACCAAAATGTATGGGTAACAATGGTAAAAGTTCTTAACTTAATAATAGAAAATTAATAAAGAAATAAATACATAAATACATAAATAAATGGTATTATTGGAAAAGACGCCTAACACCAAAAAAATATAGATTCTGAGCTTGCCACTTTCTAAGACAAATTTCTTCTGTAACATTTCCTTCGCAAACTAATAATTATAAGGGTGGTTGAGAGGATGTAAAAAATAACAATAATAATAAAATAACTAAATAAATAAAGAAAGAAATCGAGGACGCGACGAAACAATCGGACAGAATTATAGCGGATGACATAAGCGGGGAAAATCAAATGTCAATAGACATAAGCGACGGGTCTATTAGAATCAATAAAATTTGTAATAGATAGTCACGTGACAATAGTAGCTGGACCCAAGAGAAGTCAGTTGAATTTAAAATCAATTCCGTTATGGGTAGGCTGTATACGAGTTGCGGTTTCGCCTTTAACATGTAAAATATCATGGCGATAATGATAAAGAGTGGCGGATATTTTTTCAGTCGTGTAAGGTCTCACAAGACACAAGCAGTGCCACGTAGTGTCCTTTATTTTCAATAAAACTGAAGGTAAACACTGAAAACGTAAAGTTCTGAGTGTAACAAACAGATTTAACATACTCCTCACCAGGACTTACTCTTATCACAGACTAAGTATACTTAAAGGAAGTAATAAAATCCTGATAGATAATAATATGACAATTTTGTATTTAGAGATTACATTTGTAATCTAACATACTGTTGAACTCATTACATTATCTTAATCTTAACTTTAAGAAAAAAAGAAAAGAAAAAAAAAAGAGAGAAAAGAAAAGAAAAAAATCTAAATAATACGAAGTATTACAAGTCAAATTTCACTGGGGCTCTTACTGCACGACCCCGTCGACTATAGGAAGTAGATATTAAATTGTTCATTTTAGAATGTTTCATTGTTTCCAAGAACTAATGGTCTAATATTTTCTTCTGAAGTAGACTTTCATATTTTCCTTAAAATCTTCATACAGAGGATTATACATTTCAAGATCATGCAACTTCTGCACTAGTCTATTGGCTACTCTTTTGTCAGTTTTGACACTAACACTCCTAATGATATTATCATTACCTGGGATTACCTCTGTAACTACACCTAATGGCCGTTTAAGCCTAAGAACATGGTCTTCTCTGACTGGGACAACAGCTCTTTTCTTTACATTTCAATTTTGCACGAATCTCTTCCCAACAGGTGGCAAATTTCTTAGATAACTGGGCTCCATAATTTCCAAAACTAATTAGGCTGCTGCTGGAGAACACTTTCTCGGACAATCAAATCCTTTCCTGTAACATATAAAGGTTGGTCGCTAATCTCAAGTTGGAGTCCAGCATTACGTCCAAAGAGAAATTGTGAAAGAGTTAAAGGATTTGAAACATCGGGTTCATATTCAACAAAGGTTAAAGGTCTAGAATTTACACAAGCCTCAACTTCTTGAAGAGTGATCTCAAGCTCAAGTTTTGACAACATTTATTTATTTTTATTCTTAAAGCAGACTTAACAGGCCTAATCAAACGCTCCAACCAACACAGAGAATGGCGGAATAATGAAATTCCACTAAGGAGATAATGAAGTTGAAGTTGAGCCGCAACCAAAAATGTTTTAGCATTATCTGAGTAAAAAATGGAAAAAAATGCCTCTTCGTGCTGCAAATATACATATAGCAAGCATGCAATCAGAGAGAGAAGACAACAGACTTTCTCTCAGAATGAGGTTGAGCATCATTTATAAATCTCTATATTAAATTGACTCCTATCTCTTGAATTCAAATATTTTAGAAGTGGTCACAGATACACAAGAAATGTTCTTTTCACTGTAATTTTCCTCTACAGGTAACTCTACAGTTTCTTTTTAATCACTTATAGTTGACTGATAAAACCAAGAAGGGCCATTTATCCATAACGTAGAATTTACAAGTGACTTGGCTGACTCCTTTCTAGAAACAAAATCAAGATCCTCGATAATGGTACCAGTGGTATGGGGAGGTGAGATAATGAATTTCAACAACTCTATTTGACACAAACACCCATCTATAAGGATTACCCTTTACCCATGTCCAGTCCATTCCAATAACATTGAGTTACAGTCTTATCAAGATAGAGGGCAGACTTCACAAAATCTAAGAGCCAAGGTCAAAGTAATGCACCAAGCAACTCTAGTCAGGGTTAAAGTAACCCTTTATATTGAAGCTACCATTGACCTACAAATGACACTTGGTATGTTCCATCCACAAAGTGGAAATCTTAAATACACAAGCTCCATTCCCTTTCTCTGAAGCATCACCAAAGGCATGAATTTCTAAATCAGATAACTATTTCCAAGAAATTTCTGGAAAATAGCAATGACTAATCTTCTAATACATCAGTGCTGCAATACTCTTAACCCAATTCTGGAACTTATTTTGCACTATTTAGGTAATACATCATCCAATCAAGCCTAAGTCTTCATGTGCCTTGGAAGAGCATTTTAGCATACATGGCAAAAGGACTAATCAAACCAAGTGAGTCAAAAAGCTTAGCTGTCAGACTAAAGAACTGCTCTTTTTGTCGACACAAACTAAGTCTCCAAGTCTAAATCAAAGCTATCAAAGACAAACTGGGCTGTTAAGGAGTATCACTTCATACCTAAAACCTTGGTGGATTCATGTTCCTCACCATGATCAATTTTGCCAATAAACTTTGCAGTAAATAACTTACAATTTGAATGCCATTTAGAAAGAGGAAACTCACCTAATGCCAAATTTAAAGATTATTCAGCAATGTCTGACCCTGGCATCCAATCATCCACATAAAGGTTTTTCTTTAACTCTTCTTTAACTTCTGTAACTAGCTGGAGAAGCACCAAAAACTGGTCTAATCTTGAGTTAAGAACTACTTTCTTTGACAACTGAATGATGCATACAATAAGTGGGCTGAAAACTTGAAACTTTATTTGAAAGGACCTTCTCAATTATTTACTCTTCTTCATTAAGTTGTGGATCCTCATCTAACTTACGGTCTAATCCTTCTAGCCTTTTCCTTGCAAGTCCCTCATTATTTCTAAGATTCTTCTCTGTCATCTGACTTCCAGGGTAAGCCTATTTCATAACACCCCCATCAAACTTAACATTTCTCCAGAATTGCTGTAGAACAGGGTCTGAGGTAAATGAGGTAGAAATTGTTTCCTTTTGAGTTATTCCAACAGATTCTAAACTCCACAATTCACATAAATCAGAATCTGTTACTTTTCCTATGCATGAATTGCTTGTTAGAGGAATCCATCCATGAGCCAGACAAAACCCAACCAAATACAGACATTTGGGCTATTAATCAATTACTCTGATGTGGCCTTATTTCAGGTTCCATAAATCCCATATAAGCATGCAAACCCACTATCATATCTATACTTAGGTGGCTAAGTTAGAAGTCAGGGTCTAGTTGACGGTGCACAAATATTTTACACCTTGTAAATATACTAACTTCAAGCCAAGAGCTTCTGAATATCCCAACGCTTTTCAAACATGTTTCTTACTTCAGAAAGCACAATAAGATGATCCTACTTCAGATTGTGTGTAAAGAGCTGATGCAGATGGCACTCTTCTTTCTATGAGTCCACAAAACGTTTGCTGTCTTGGAGCTACTAGATATTTTACTACTCTTACAGGATGAAATAGAGTCACACTTCTCACCTTTCATCAATCCCCCAACCTCTGTGCAGCTTGCAGTCTGGGCTTACGGACTTCTTGAATCAACTCGGAGGCACCATCGCGGTCTCTAATCGTAACATTATTTGTACCTCCTCCAAACTGGCAAGACGTCAATCAAAGTCATCCACGGCAGCTTGCAACTCGATGATACTAACGTCTGGATTGTCAAGAAGGCCCGTCATTATGTTAGAGATGCGAGTTGCCCACCATCGACATCAAGGCATGAAGAAGCAGGAGCGAGGGTTGGGGTTGCTGAATGAAACAGGTGGTGCTCTAGCAGTGCCCATAGTGGCCTTTATTATTAGTGGCTAAACACACACACACAAATACATATATATATATATATATATATATATATATATATATATATATATATATATATATATATATATATATATATATATATATATATATATATATATATATATATATATATATATATATATATATATATATATATATATATATATATATATATATATATATATATATATATATATATATATATATATATATATATATATATATATATATATATATATATATATATATATATATATATATATATATATATATATATATATATATATATATATATATATATATATATATATATATATATATATATATATATATATATATATATATATATATATATATATATATATATATATATATATATATATATATATATATATATATATATATATATATATATATTCTGTAACTAGCTGGAGAAGCACCAAAAACTGGTCTAATCTTGAGTTAAGAACTACTTTCTTTGACAACTGAATGATGCATACAATAAGTGGGCTGAAAACTTGAAACTTTATTTGAAAGGGCCTTCTCAATTATTTACTCTTCTTCATTAAGTTGTGGATCCTCATCTAACTTACGGTCTAATCCTTCTAGCCTTTTCCTTGCAAGTCCCTCATTATTTCTAAGATTCTTCTCTGTCATCTGACTTCCAGGGTAAGCCTATTTCATAACACCCCCATCAAACTTAACATTTCTCCAGAATTGCTGTAGAACAGGGTCTGAGGTAAATGAGGTAGAAATTGTTTCCTTTTGAGTTATTCCAACAGATTCTAAACTCCACAATTCACATAAATCAGAATCTGTTACTTTTCCTATGCATGAATTGCTTGTTAGAGGAATCCATCCATGAGCCAGACAAAACCCAACCAAATACAGACATTTGGGCTATTAATCAATTACTCTGATGTGGCCTTATTTCAGGTTCCATAAATCCCATATAAGCATGCAAACCCACTATCATATCTATACTTAGGTGGCTAAGTTAGAAGTCAGGGTCTAGTTGACGGTGCACAAATATTTTACACCTTGTAAATATACTAACTTCAAGCCAAGAGCTTCTGAATATCCCAACGCTTTTCAAACATGTTTCTTACTTCAGAAAGCACAATAAGATGATCCTACTTCAGATTGTGTGTAAAGAGCTGATGCAGATGGCACTCTTCTTTCTATGAGTCCACAAAACGTTTGCTGTCTTGGAGCTACTAGATATTTTACTACTCTTACAGGATGAAATAGAGTCACACTTCTCACCTTTCATCAATCCCCCAACCTCTGTGCAGCTTGCAGTCTGGGCTTACGGACTTCTTGAATCAACTCGGAGGCACCATCGCGGTCTCTAATCGTAACATTATTTGTACCTCCTCCAAACTGGCAAGACGTCAATCAAAGTCATCCACGGCAGCTTGCAACTCGATGATACTAACGTCTGGATTGTCAAGAAGGCCCGTCATTATGTTAGAGATGCGAGTTGCCCACCATCGACAACAAGGCATGAAGAAGCAGGAGCGAGGGTTGGGGTTGCTGAATGAAACAGGTGGTGTTCTAGCAGTGCCCATAGTGGCCTTTTATATATATAAATTATGGAAAATAAGTACTCTATTAGATATAAGGATATATGAAATATGTAATATTCCTCTAGAACACATTTAGAAAATTTACACTCTAGTTAAAAAAATATAGATATTATCATATTCAAAAATAATAACAAAGGAACTGAGGGTAAACACTGAAAACGTAGAATTCTGAGCATCAAAGTGGTAACTAACATATTTAACCAGCCGGATGTGAAAGGATAGAGGTCCTGGAAGGCAAACTAGCTAGATCGTGCGATGAACAAGACTGGAAATTGAAAGCGGTGGGGCAAACCAACTTGCGTCTTTATTTTGTTTTTATCATTATAAGAGTAGTTAATATAAATCTGAATATTACTTTAGACAAAACTTACAATCTTTGTCCATCATTTACTGATGATGGTAAAGCAAGACAGTGGTTCATGACTATTTCACAGCACTTCTGCATGGTCTGGATCTGGTGATAAGTTCTCCAAATACGGAGCCATTGTTCTCCACCAGTTGTGGTCTCTTCTGTGAGGGCTCTCAATGTGTCGTATCTCAGAAGTTTAACCAGTTTCCCGTTTGTGATGGATATTTTAGACTTTTTTAAAGTGTGTAGATTCGAGTGTTTATTACATGGATACTGTACTTGTCGTGAAGTTCTGATATTGAAAGCTCGTGTTTCGCTTGTTGCTGTCGGGAGGGCTTGGTTCTGGACCCTCTACTTCCTTCTGATCTTTGTTTTGGAGGAGATACATAGAGGGCACAGTCTGACCAGTCTGATCAGTGTTTTGTAGAATTGTAATTATGTTCTCGTATTCATTTTTAAAAGTGTTTTAGTTTCGTTTTTTTTTCCATTGTCAATCTCCATTTTTTGGGTTGACACCCCATGGGTACCGAAAAGTTTGTTTTTATGTTTTTTAATCTTCCATCTCTTTTCGAATCTATTTATTTTTTTAATATAATATACAGTCATCGTAGTTAACATTTCTTTTGCTTTTAATGAATATAACATGATCTGAATTATATCGTCGGCAAAGCTGCCATCTACGTAGTTGTTTTTGGGTCCTTCAAGGTCTGCCATGTAAAATATAATAAGAGTAGGACGATTTCGGTGTTAATATTTTCCTTGTTAATTACTGTAACTGCGTGTTCTTTGTTTATATGACCAGCTACGTCTACAGTCTGCCCATTTGTACTTTTCCTTTTGCGGGAGCATGATGAGTGATGTTGATAAGGTGAAGACTATGGGAAGATGTTCAGACGTGATTAACTGTCCTTCTTGGATAACAAAGTTCATATGGAGGTTTTTATTCCCAAGAATAATGTTTGGACGCCCTTTGAAGTCAGGCCCTATTTAGGTTATCATGAATTAGTACATTAGGTTTACTATTTTGTCTCCTATGAGGTTGTTGCTGTGTTGACCGAGTAATGTATTCAGGGATATTGTTTGCAATATTTTCATTGTCTAGGAAATTATGGGCATGGAGGTGGCATGTATGTTGTGCCGATTACAATTATTCCTCAGTTTGTCTGCGGTTTTACTGCAAAGAAGTCCTCATCGAAGTTGTCTATAATTTTGTGTTTGATATTTCTATAAATGCATATGGCAATTCCTGTATCACCTTCGTTTAATGTGTTTCTTTGGTAGCCGTAGTGGCCAAACATCTGTATCAGCTCATTGTTCTGGAGACAGTTAGTACTGATTAATAATGATGG